TCTATTATACCACACTGTACTTTTCTCCAACACCCCCCACCCCATTCCACTTCTCACATTGCTCCTGCCAGCTCCCTGAGGGCGTGCAGAGCCCCATGTTACATGTCCTGACATGGGAGCAAGTTCCGCCTAGTGAACTTAGAAATGCACCCTCAAAAGCAACCCCATCCTCAAGTGTTCTTATCAACAAGTACCTTCCCAGCCCTAAGGACTCTGGTTGATGTAGCTCATTAACATTTTCAGCATGCCACTGTACTCCCAATAGGTATTTTTTGCCAGGTCAGGGGGAAAACCGAATACAAATACAAAGACTCTAAGACATAGTATGATTTTTCTAAGATAGTTGCAGTATCAGTAGCAGAAGCACAAAAACACTTAACTAGGTGTCACTGTCCCTGAAGTTGGAGTGTTACAAATAATAGAACGGACTGAGCAGACCCCTCTGGGTGGTCAGGGAGCCGTGTGCAGCCTCTCTTCCCTTGTAGCACATTATGGAGCCTTGAACTTACAGGTGCTCTGTCGATTGTTTTCTGGATGGATCAATGAAACTACGCTTCAATACGACCAAGTAGGAATGGCATCCTTAGATCTAAGTTGAGCTTGTGAGCTTTTTAAAAACAATGTTCTTTCCCTCACGCAGGGACTGTTGACCACTTGAATCTGCTGTCATTTGGGGCCAAACTCATGTGATGGGAATCAGGCAGGGTCCACAGCAGCACTAGAAACATTCCAGCTCTCGCATTGGGTGATGAGTTCACAGTATTCCTTTTGTTATTTCATAGCTTATGCGTACAAGCTAAAAATAAATCCAAAATTATAGATAATTGTTTTTTAGTAATGGAGTATAGAGCTGTTAATGGGAATTTAAATCCTACCAAGGACTAGATCACATTTGATATGACAGGATACAGTATCTCTGTTATAAAATTTGACTGGCAAGCATGATATTAAAAAATTACTTAAGGGTAACCACCAAAAAGATAAAGAAAAGAAACGCCACCTATAGTTTAAAAAAAAAATCTGAAAACTGCCAATTTGACATAAAGCAGAAATATAAAAAAAAGGCTAAGATAGAAAATATAAGACTAATTGTATCAGTAATCACACTTCAAGTAACTAGACTGAATTCACTTACTAGAAGACAAAAAATCAGAAAAGATTTTGGAAAAATAAAAGCTATGTGCTGCTTAAGTAGGCATATTTAATATAAAGTTATAAAGAAAAACTAAAAATGAACAGCAAAAACATACATACTAGAAAAAAGTTAACCAAGAAATACTGGTGTGGCAACATTACTAATAGATAAAACAATGTAAGGAAAAAGTTTAAAAAGACACCTCATAATAAAAGGGTCACCAGGAATATATAATTAATACATAGTAACATCACAGACAAAACATCAAGTATTAGCAGATACTGATAACAACATAGCCACTGCCATAGAAACTGAAAAAAATTAGTCAAAAAATTAAGATATAGTCTGAATAGCATAATTAGTAAGGTTCAGTTAATTCATGTATATAGAATTTCTTATTCAAATAGAGATACATCTTTAAAAGCTTTTTGTTGAATTTTATTTTCAAAATTGGTTTACGTTATTGCCCAAACAAGCTGCGACAAACAAAGAATCAGTAACAAAGGCATCAAATTCAATGGAAGATCATATAGTCTTTTCAGCAAGTGAAGCTAGAATTAGAATCAATATGAGGATAAAAAATGAGCTGAAGCCTCATCATTCCATACCCCAAAATGAACTTGAGATTGATGATAGATCTAAAATTGTTAAACAGTAGTTTCAAAAAAAAAAAACAAAAAAACCCTAAGAAATTATCTTTTCAACCTGGGAGTAGGTAAAGATTCTTAGGATACAGCAAGCAATAACCTTCAAAGAAAAGACTAATTAGGTTAGATCAAAATTAAATTTTGCTTAAAAGCTTAAGAAAATTTATAGAAGAACCAGATTGGAAGAAAGTATTCTCAAAATCTGACAAAGGACTTGTGAAAAGAGTATATGAAAAACTACAATTCAGTAATGTTTTAAAAGTCAATCCAATTAAAAATAAAGACTTAACCAAACATTCACAAAAGATAAAAGAATGGGCAAGAAGTCAATAAAGTGCTCAACATTATCATCAAGGATTTGGAGTAACCAGAACTCTCATATTGCTTGTAGGAGTATAGAACATTAACAACCCATTTTGAGAGGACATATGGAAATCTCTTAAAAAACTAAACACATCATTGTTTTGGAGTTTCTAGCAAAACAACTAGGCAAGTAAAATGAAGTAAAAGGTATTCAAATTGGAAAGGAAGAATTAATGGCATGACCTTGTAGATAATTCTAAAGAATCCACAAAAAAGTCCAAGAGCTAATAAAGGAGCTCAGCAAGGTTGCAAGATACAGGATAAACAAAAATTGTACCAATGAATAACCCAATACTGAAATTAAGGAAATAATTCCATTTGCCATAGAATCAAAAAGAATAAAATATTTTAGGAATAATAACCAAATATCAAAGACATACACTAAACACTATAAAACATTATGGAAAGAGGGAAATTTAAAGAAAGGGAAAAAATCTCTCCATTAACAAATTGGGAGACAAAATTATTAACACAGTAATACTTGCAAAATTGATTTACAGACTTATTGCAATCACTTAGGGGACTCACACTTTGAAGCACAGCAATCAAGACAGTGTGGTACTAGAATAGGACAGACATATATACCAATGGAAGAGAACTGAGAATCCAGAGGTAAACCTTCACAATTATGGTCAGTTGATTTTTGACAAACGTGCCAGTACAATTCAATGGGGAAAGAATATTCTCTTTAACAAATAGTGCTGCAACAACAACATCCACATGTGAAAGAATGAAGTCCTATCTCACACCATATACAAAAATTAACTCAAAATGGACCATAGAGCTAAATGTAAGAGCTAAAACTCCTTGAAGAGGGCACCTGGGTGGCTCAGTTGGTTAAGCGACTGCCTTCGGCTCAGGTCATAATCCTGGAGTCCCAGGATAGAGTCCCATATTGGGATCGCCACTTAGCAGGGAGTCTGCTTCTCCCTCTGACCCTCTCCCCTCTCATGCTCTCTCTCTCAAATAAATAAAATCTTAAAAAAAAAAAAAACAACTCCTTGAAGACAAAAAGCAGTGTATCTTTGTGACCTTACATTAGGGGATTGACTCTTACATACGACAGCAAATGATGTTGAATAAAGAAAAATTTCCTAATGATGCCTGTAGCCTGATGCCTTTCAAATGAAGCTTAAAAATACCCCAAAACAAAGTAATTATTATGAATGGACACATACATATATAAAGTATGCAAACATCTAGCATAACAAATTTCCAAGTAGTGGTTACTTCTAGGGAGGAGAGGACGGGGAGGGGGGACAGAAGGATAATTAAGGGTAATCTTTTGTTTCTGGAAAAAAAAAAAACCCCAAACTTCAAATAGAAAAAGTATACTGTTAATAGCTGATGAAAGTGGTACAACTATACCTATGTACTTTTATGAATATTTGAAATACTTTATGATTTGACAAATTACATTTTTTTTAAAGGAACGAGACATCCTTATGATCACTAATTTCCAGTACAACACAGGGCAAAAATTAAGGTAAATTAAACTAATTGATCTAAAACTCCACTAATCTCAAGAAATGTTCAGGAAATTGCTTTGGGAATAAACACTATTATTAGATCCTTTGTCATTGCCTTTATTCAAAATGGAGAACAAAGTACATGCCCCCAGAATGATCACTGGAATTTTCCACTTGTTTGTATTCTATACAAATAGTTGTGGCTTATGTTTATTTTAGTAAATTCTTTTTTCTCCCTCTACTCCTAAATTTGTTTTCATCAAATTTTCCCAAGCTTAAATTTCTTCTTTTTTTTCCTTTCCCTAGATTTGTATTTCTTTCCTAAGCAACAATAAAACATTATTTTCCTTTTTCCATTTGCTCATAAATCAAACAGTATATTTCCTTGTTTGGTTTTTCACTTTCAACTACATGTTTGGTTTGCTTACATTTTTTCTGCTATTCACTTTCCCTACCGAGTACAAGACATGCTTCCAGGTGTTAACAAACTACTTTTTTATAGGGAAAAGGTTCACTTATTTAGACCTATCAGGAAGATGTGCATGCAGATGGGGATTTAACAATAAGCACTTTCTACTTAAAAGGGTACAGACCATGTTTCTCTGAAGGGGCCATTGGATGCTGAGGGCTGTAGGGAGGACAGTTGCTAAGTTGCTGACATTATTACAGGGAGGTGAAGGCCAGAGGCACCTGGCCTTCTTTTCCCACCGCCAGCTCCCACCATGTTACAGAGCCTAGACCACAGCCTGGCTCAAGTCACAGGGCACAAGAAAGGGGAGACTCTTGTCATCTTTTCGACCCAGCCAACAACAGTTGTCATTTACTGAGACGGCCCACTGCCAAGCAGTCTTCTGGGCACTCAATACAACTTCGTTGGACTCCTAATTCCCCATGAGAGAGGGGGATTACCTCTACTTTATGGACAGGGCACTGCGTAGAGAAGTCAAGCAATACAAGGAAGCTCACCCAGCTTTGCCACCTGGCTGGAAGAGCCGAGATTCACGTCCAACTGTGGCTCGTGGCACACGCCCTGCCATGTGCACACACAGCTTCTTCCCTTTCCAGCTGCTGCAGGGTGTGGAGCAGGGCAGTTTTTTGGTGGAAGAGTTGCTCTTCCTCCCAACCCACCATGCACCCTACCTACTGTATTTATGCTCACGACAGGGCAATGGTTAAGTCCTCAAGGAAACGATTTGATTCCTCAAGTATGGCATTAATAGAAACAAGCATTTACACAGAGGCATCTGTACACAGTATTTATGTACACATAGGTGTGTTTGTAGGGGCAAGGCTGGCTACCTGCTGTGGTACTGAAGGAGCCCTTCTGAGGGTGCTCCTATAACCGGGTGCTCCAGAAACAAAGCCCCACGAATAATGGAGGCCTACCTGAATAGGATCCTGCGTCAGTCTCATGGGCCCAATGCGCACCTCCGCTGAAGAGACCTGCTAAATAAGCGACAACACGTTAGATGTGCCAAGTCAAACTACAAGAATTGACAAATACTTCCTTATTTAGAATATTACATGAGGGGCGCCTGGGTGGCTCAGTTGGTTAAGCGACTGCCTTCAGCTCAGGTCATGATCCCAGGGTCCTGGGATCGAGCCCCACATCAGGCTCCCGGCTCCGCAGGAAGCCTGCTCCTCCCTCTCCCTCTCCCCCTGCTTGTGTTCCTGCTCTTGCTGTCTCTGTCTCTGTCAAATAAATAAATAAAATCTTTAAAAAAAAAAAAAAAGAATATTACATGATACTACTTTATAGACACTAACTACAAGGATCCAATTTACTGACACGGACACAGTTTATAAAACATATATGGCATAATCCTAGTTTTGCGTAAGAACGTACACATTTATATGTGCATTGAAAATGTCCTGGAGGAGATCATCAAATGCTAAGTAGTGGATTTCAGGTTGTTTTTACTTTAAGTACATGGATTTTTATAATAAGCAAGTACTGCTTTACGGGAGAAAACCAATCATTTTCTGAGCACCTACTATGTGCTCAGCACCATGCTAGACACTTCTTTTTTGCTAGACAGTTCTTATTCTAACACCTCAAATAAAGGTTTTTCTCAAATGTGAAAGCTAAAACATTTGAAGAGCTGTTCCTCTATTTACTTCTTAATTTTCTTACCTTCATGCTTCGTATGAGGCATAGACAGCTCATTCTTACCCATGTTTACCACGAATAAACTCATTTGAATTGCACTTCCTCCAATAAAGTGGGGAAGCCCATACCATGACCGCAAGATGCAAATTGCGCCCCACGACTCAGTCCAGGAATGAGCTTAGGTGTTCAGTGGCCAACACCATCTAACTGCCTTCAGCTCCAAGCACAGAGCAAGTATTTGTAATAACTTTGCTTGGATTAGTCACTTTCTCAAAGTGACTCTTTCTAGGTAACTTTATTGAGAGTCTTGACCTCACCCCTAAGGATCCAGTTTTATTGTTCTCCAAGAGGAAGCAGTCATTTTGCCACCACTTGGAAGCTTATCCTGCGTTCTACACACGAGTTTGGCCCCTGCCAGTCAGACGGAACACCTTCAACAAGCATACAAAATCACAGGACCAGAGGTAACTCAATAATGAATCAAGGGCCAGAGGTAGCTTTTATCAGTTAACAAAAGCAGAACTTTCTTTAAATTATAATTTTTTTTAAAAGATTTTATTTATTTATTTGACAGAGAGAGATACAGCGAGAGCAGGAACACAAGCAGAGGGAGTGGGAGAGGGAGAAGCAGGCTTCCCGGGGAGCAGGGAGCCCGATGTGGGGCTCGATCCCAGGACTTGGGGATCGTGACCTGAGCCGAAAGCAGACGCTTAACGACTGAGCCACCCAAAATTATAATTTTGAAAACTAAAAATTTCCCTTTCTCCTTTCTTCCCTTTTCTCTGTGCTTAATTCGTGGTGGGCATGGTGTGAATCTTCTTCTAAACATGACTGAATTGGTGACATTCTTTTCCTCTTTAAGGTTGATCCCTCAACCCTGGCTTCACCATGTGAAGCAATGATCCTGGGGACTTTGGCCTCTCGCCAACCCAGCCAGCTCGAAACCCTCCAATGACTGCTCAACAGAGGCTATTGGTCCTCGGTGCTGGGTTCTGCTTGGGGAGGCAGCCCCTGACCAGTGGACCCTTGTAGGAGGCCTGGCACAATTCATACCAACACGGGGCCTCGAGTCCCTGAGCCATGGACCAGTGGCGAGTTCCTTCAGTGTTTCACTGCTATCTTCAGGTAGAACATGTGATCCTATGCTTCTTTCCTTCAAACAAAACAATATCCTACAAAGTGTTACTGCTGATACCAGCACCCAGCACATACACACAGCCCTAAGAATGATTCCACTGAAAAACCAGCGGTACCAGGCCTCCTGTGTCACTGGGACTCAGCAGCCCACCCAGCACCCCAGCTCTACTTGGACACAGTGTTTATTTCTGAAACAGACATGGTCCTTCAAAAGCAGTGTAACTGCCAGAATTTTATTAAAAAGTTAATAATTAAGAAGTAAAACCCATTTGATAAAGTAAGATCAAGTTGACCGATTATCTAGGATATCTTTTCACAGTCCCTGTGATCTCTCTTGGGTTCACTGCCCCCATCACACACCTAAGTGCCCCTCCAACAAGGCTACAGGTTTTCTCCAGCAAAACTGACTCCCAAAGGGGTCATCCAGGGGAAGAAAAAAAAAAAAAATCAATGAAATATGTAGTATAAAGTTTAAAAGGAATAAAATAAAGTGATTCACTTTGGAAGGCTAAGGGACAGGGGGAAGGATCCCTGCTAGAAGGGTACAGACTATCCAAAAAACAGTTCACTCTTAACCAATACATTTCTATCTAATTTCGTAAATAACCAAGATGTGCACCAAGTAGTTATAAAGGGTGTGTGTGTGTGTGCGTGTATGTGTGTGTGTGTTGGAGAGCTCACAATACGTTCCTGATGAAATCTCTCTCTAGAACAAATCCTGTGAAACAGTGTAATCACTCCTGGCACACAAATGGTTGGATTCGCATTTAATGAAAATAATTCTCATTATTGTCTCCTATTCATTTAGGCCCAGAGGATCCTATCATATTTCAGCTCTTTACGTAACTGAATTTAGACAGGACACAGGTCAAGTCACTTTTTACATAGGTCTCTTGGTGGGATAAAAGCCCTGAAAGGCAGGGGCCTGGGTGGCTCAGTCAGTTAAGCATCTGCCTTCGGCTCAGGTCATGATCCCGAGGTCCTGGGATTGAGCCCCGCGTCAGGCTCCCTGGTCAGTGGGAAGCCTGCTTCTCCCTCTGCCTGCCGCTCCCCCTGCTTGTGCTCTCTCTCACTCTCTGTCAAATAAATAAGTAAAATCTTAAAAAAAAAAAAAAAGCGCCCTGAAAGGCGAGCATTTATGGGCCTTTATTATCAACATTAAAAAGAAAGTCAATTCCATTTTCCTTATATGTAAGGAAATGATGACTAATTTGGAGTAATTCTGAAATAAAGTCCTTGCATTATTGACAACACTGGTAAAGCTCTTCAACAATGGTCATTTTTTGTCATGCATTTTAGGTCTTTAGAAAACGATGTTTTTGTTGGAACTATCGAGTAAGCTCAGTATGTTAGTTTCCCAGGGATTGTGAAGTTTTGAATAAAGAGGAAGAGCTCTGATGGGAGGAGAAATACCTTCTGAATCACTTCTGATCACAATTCAGAAGCTGGGGGAAGAAAAAAAAAAACCCTGAAGTTTATTATCTCATTGGTATGTGGTAAAATAGTTCATGTACTTTTTCTTTTAATTTTGGGATGTAAATATTACTTTTTTTTTTTTTTTGCACTAATGAGCCCAGAGTTGAGAAGATGGTAAAAACTGACATGTTAAAACTCCTATAATAGGTTAGATATGTGGGAGAAGATTAATATGTTTTCTCATTTAAATCTCAAAATCCATTTCACTATTTTAGCTCTGAATTAGAATAGGCTCAATTATACTGTGGTATCAAAGAGACCCCAAATCTCAGTGGCCTACTAATAGAAAGGTTTTTTTTTATTCATACAAAATTCACTGTGGTTCCAGGTGACTTTCCTAAGCAATTCCTCCTCATGGTTACTTAGAAGTCCAGGCCAAGACAAAGTCAGGGGGAAAGTCACAGGAGACTCAGGCATGGGTTTCTAAAACCTCAGCCTGAAAGTTAGACACAGTCCTTTCCCTCAGCCCATCGGCTGGAGCTAGTCACGTGGCCCCACTTCACTGTAAGGGGGTGGGAAATCTAACGAAGCCAAAGGGTAGTAGTTACATAGGCCTTTTAAAACTTTGCCAGGAGAACATCTGAGGATCCTGTGGACACTCCTCAAGGCACCTGCTCTCCCCGAGGGACTGTGCTAGGCACCTTCACAGGAGTGACCTTTGCAGGAGACCGGCAATGGCCACTGAGTGACAGTATGGAATTTTCCAAGTGACACCTGACCTAGAACATACTCTTTTCCTGCTCAACAGCAAAGACGCTACAACTGTCTTCCACAACCGTAGGAGTCCCCTGCCTGACCCAGCTCAGCAGGAAGCCGCCAGGAGGGAGGCAGAGCCCAGGAGACAGTACTGCAAGTTTGGTCGACCTTTCCCAAGACCCGGGCCTCCCCCGTCTCTACCCACTTCTTCCCAAGCCCGCCTCACTGTGCCACCTCCCAGGAGGCACCCTCCACCTCCACCACCCAGCTTGGGGCCTCAATTTACCAGCTCCTTTAGTCCTGACCTACACTTAGCTTCCGGTCTCTTGGCTTCCCTTTTCCTTCTTAGGCTGCGCTCCCGTTCACCTGACCTTGGCTCCCACGCCCAAGAGAGGTCAACTATCTCAGCAGAACGGCAGCACTTCTTGCTGGCTCTGCGGGCTGACGCAAGGCAGCGACCAGCAAGGCAAAGCTGCAGCAGCGCTATCCAGAGCAGCAACACCTTGCAGAGGTCTGTTCCTGACACAGCAGCCTGCTGCCTACATGTCATCGATCTACGACAGAGCGTTTATGAACATCAACAGACCATTTACTGAGGTCTCTGTAACAAAGCCAAGACTCTTTATTTCCAAGAGTGAACTGTGAGCAGCTGCAGATGCACGGACCCCCAGGTAGGGTATGAGCTCTGATTCCCAGAAGTGAAGAAGTTCGCCAAGGTCACAGAAGCAAGCAAAGGGTGGGGTCAGAGATAACCTAATTCTAGTGCCCACGGGGGAAGAGGATGGGACAAGGATGTGAAGAGACACACTTCCTACCACTCTGACCACACATCTTCCCCCAACAGCCCAGTGAGGAAGGACTGCTGACCGACAGTGCAGCCTGAACTCTCCCATGTTTATAGTGTGTACACATGTGTATACAGGGTAACATGCATACACCTGCAGCAAGGTAACCAATTCACATGCAGGGGAGTTGGCTCTCTAGGGGGAAAAAAAGTCCTATTTTGTAGCATTTGCTGATGCTCTGGTATAAAAACCTTCACTTTAGTTAATCTCAAGCTAGCAACATAGGGCCCTGAGTGTGCAACTGGGACTGTATCTTTTCATTCTGAATAAAAAGGGTCTATGGGTGGCAAACTCATTGGGTCTTTGTTGGTCTACAAATGTCTATCACTCACTTTTGATAGTTTAAAGAGATACACAATTCTGGTTGATAGATATTTTCCCCTCCAACTTTAAAGATGAAAAGGAGAAAGTACTTCTGGTTTTCAAGGTGGGGAGATCAAGGAAGGCTCCATTAAGGCAAGCAGGTCATGAAGAACAAGAGACTGGCTTGGGAGAAGAAATTACAGACATACGAAAGAACAGAACCAAAGGCATGGAGGTAAAAATGCTAAGGTACAATGGCAGAGAAAGAAGACTGGGAGGACTGGGGTCAGTCCCTTAGAGCATCTTGGAAGGTATGTGCCACCACC